CCCCAGCCTGTACTGGTGCATGGGGTTCTTCCTGCCTAGGTGCAGGACCCTGCACTTGCCTTTGTTGAACTTCAGGAGGTTCCTCTCTGCCCACCTCTCCAGCCTGTCCAGGTCCCTCTGAATGGCAGCACAGTCTTCTGGTGTGTTAGCCTCTCCCCCCAGTTTAGTATCATCAGCAAACTTGCTGAGGGTGCACTCTGTCCCTTCCTCCAGGTCATGGATGAATATATTGAACAAGACTGGACCCAGGACTGACCCCTGGGGGACACCACTAGCCACAGGCCTCCAACTTGACTCTGTGCCATTCACCACAACCCTCTGAGCTCGGCCATCCAGCCAGTTCTCAATCCACCTCACTAGCCACTCATCCAGCCCACATTTCCTGGATCCAAGATACACTAATGACACTGGCATATATGATGCAGAACTTAGGAGAAATTCCAGAAAGCTGCTTAAATGGGAGTCATCTGGAGTGGCATCTGGTGGCTAGGTGGGATATCCTTGGATATCCCTTGGTGGGATATCAAATAGCACTAGATATATATGCGTGGGTGAGTGAACCATACCGCAGATCTCCATCAGTAATATTGAGAATTGGAATACCTAGCCTACGTGTTGACACATAAATACAAGAGCCTGAATCACAGCATGAATCCCAACTCAAGTTCTTATGCTTTATAAGCTGATCGAAGTTAAATGTTCCACAGTACTAACAGAACATTCTATATTGCTGTTATAAGGTACTGTAGTCAGGCCTGTGTCCTGCTGTGACTAATTTCCATGTCATTATAAGTAGAAAGTATTTAAGATTATTGTGTGGTTATTTCCTCTTTAAAGTCTATTGTAAGAGAAAAAAAGGAATGCACAATATAATACTGTGTACACTCATACTGTACCAAGAATTCTTCCTGGACTGCAAAAACAATTAATTTTAAATGAGACTAACATAAAGAAGCATGTGCAAATATTTTTATCCCTAAATGCATGCATTAGTCAGTAGTGCACATAGTATAGCACACAGGTAAATAGTAATAATGTTTAAAAAAGCAACTAAGCATTCCTAAGAGCAATCCCCATGCCCAGATAAACATCATTAATAGGTATGTGTGCCAGTGTGTACATTATACTTTACCTCTTCTTTCTTTTGCAGGTTTTGTAAATCAGTTCTTTATATTCACTTATGTTGTTATCCCGCATACACTGAAATGATAACGAAATTCAGGGAAAGAAAATCTGATCTTTTCCTTTTTCTTCTTCACATCAGCTCAAACGAGTAATCCATCTAGTCCACCCCCTTTTTTTTCTAACAGTGAGTGACCAGTCCCAGTCACTTCAAGAGAAACTGAAAAATAGCTTTGAATAGGAGATTCGTAAATGGAGCAAATTTTCCCCTAACACCCTTACTTAGGATTTGGTTTATATCTTGAAGCACTTTGCTTCCATTCCACAATTTTCTATGTTGTTTAAGTCCTTACTGATGGAGCCAGTTGGTGAGTATAGTTTACTCTACAGCATCTTGAAAACATAAGCCCTATTTTCAAATAATGAAGATAATTAGGTCCCAAGGCCTCTTCAGACACATATATGTTATTAGTCTGTATTACACCTCAGTTTTTTCATGGCCCACTTCTCTTATTTTCTGTACCACATCTACACACAATCTGTGACTCCTTCTGGAGTGGAAAACTACGTCTCTCCTTCTCAGATACCACACTTGAATAATCTAGGTGTTGGGACCACTTCAACATGTAATATGAATACAATGAAAGTAAGTCTGGAGTTCCCACCGGCCCCATAAGCCATGTGCCCTCATTCACCTTCATGTCTCATCTATCTCTATGCAACATCATGGCCTGGACTCTTGGTGCTAGGCTGCACCACAGGTCTTTTAATCATGTTGGACACCTTATAAAGAAATATTATTCAATCTTAAAGAATCATAAGAAATTGTTAAAAATGTTTCAGAGGAAGGAGAGGACACTAGCTTCACAGAGTTCAAGGCTGCTGTGGCAACTTGTCTCAGGCTAACCTTGGGGAGCTAGTGCTGCAAAAATCTGCTGGAAATCTGGCAGGATGCTCAAGTGTAGCTCCAGGTAGGGCAATGGAGAAAAAAAAACCCTGAAACGTTGCCTATCTTAAAGCCAACAATAAAACGAGGAACAGTTGTTGGCAAGCATTGAGCAGGAAAATGTTGAGCGTGGCATGTAGATAGCATATGTTAAAGAAGCTAGGAGGTGAGAAAGAAAAAAGGTCTGAGCTGGGAACAATATAGTGTAAACTCATCCTTATCATCCTAAAATCATGGAACATATGCAGTACAGATGTGAGCTACTCTTGGCCAATTGCCTTGGGGTGCAGATGTTATTCCCTGCAGCAGGTCATACAGGCAGCACAGGACAGTTCCTGAGCTCCAAAGATCCCTAGGCAACCTGAGAAATGGCATCTGAGTTCAGGTCACTACATATATTTTCATTTATTACTACTTTAAAGCTTTTAATAGTTCAAAACTTTTCTGTATCTCACAAAACCTTTACTGAGTGAGAGTTTCATTTCATTGTTTTTTTAAGCCCTTGATATAATACAACTGACACAGTTTAAAGTAGGGATGCTAAAAAACATTTCTCAGATAGACATCTTCTTCAAATGCTGATTGTACTAAAATTGCAATGGACATCAACATTAAAGCGGTGTATCTGGTCACAGCACCATAGAAAAGCTGTGAGTAGAAGGTAAGAAAGCCTTGTAGGCAATAGCTTTCTAGAGGAGAGTGTAGTTACTTACTCCGAAAACAGTATTTCAGAAAAAGAATAATTATTGAAGGACAATTTTTCATAAATCCCTGATAATTTTAGTTTGCAAGATTGAGCCCTTATTCTTGAATATTCATTTTTAATTTTCTTTAGATGCACTTGTATGTTTAAATGTACCTGATTACAAAACAAGTATGGAAGCACACTTTGCTTCGTAAATAACGTCCAAGCAATTTAAATAAATATTTTAAGGTAACAGCGTGTAGTTAGTGTAAGAGTGTAGTTAGTGAAAGAGGACAAAAAGCATTTATCTCCTTAGGAAGCAAGTATCATTGTTACTTTACTGACTAATAAAAGGTAAAGCATAAGTGCAGCCATATAACAGGTTCTCTTGAGATAGAGAGAGAGAGAGAGAGAGAGTGTCTCTGGAGAGATAGATAGATACATATATACAGCTTATCCCTCTAAACTTATATTTTTACATATTTAATAAAATTATATTCCTTTTCAGATTATAAAAGGTTTTAGATGAACCTAATTAAGGTTTCAGATTAATATTAGTATTTCCATATATCTAATCAGAAGTGCAAATTAAAATAGAAGAAACAACTTTTAAG